AGACAACATCGTGTTCTATACTCGTGCTCCCAAAAACAGGAAGTGTGTTAATGGCTGAATCACCAGGTGAAAGTAAAGTATAAAACAAAACAAACACGTTCCTCACAATTAAGTACTGGTCGCTGCAATATAAAAAGCTTCTGGTTTTGGTTCAGATACGCTTTAAGTATCCTCAAAAATACATTGTACTTTGGGTGCACATTGCCTCATGTAGCCAAATGGTTTACTGCTGTGAATTTGGCATTCTTGGCACTAATTGGCAGGGCTTAATGCTATTAAAGCATAAGGTTAAATTTATGGTTTGTGGCCATTTTAGACCTTTCACAGAGAACTAACTTTCACTGTTCCATGAGACTATGGGCATTATCTCGCTTCAATAAAGACTGTTTCTTACAGGAACCAAGACACTTACAGGGAATTTCAGACTTAGAAGATAGCAATATTTATTCACTGATATCCTGTAAGAAGCTGTATAATGCACCAACAGATTTTGGATTCTGTGTCAAGGTAAAAACATGTTTATGCAAATTTTTTTTGTTTGTAGAACGGGTTACAGACCTCATTTTCAATTTAGAGTGTGCCATGTTAATGTTACTATATGATTGATAGTGTAGTAGAGTATCTGCTACAGCAATTGTGTATAAGCTTAACAATTTAGACGAGTTTCTGCTTTAGGGACAAAATACTCTTCTATAGAAAATAGTGTTTCTGCTTTAGGGACAAAGTACTCTTCTATAGAAAATTGTTAATGTGCAACTTTCATGTGACCTGCTCAGTTATTTATAGCTCTTAACTAAAGGCCTATTCCTTTTCAGTTAACTCCACAGCCATGCATAAGAAATTTTAATGATCCAAACTTTGTGACCAAATTATACTGTATTGCCTTGGGACTAAATTATGTAAAATGGGACATTTAGACAGCATCAAATTATAGCCAGTTCACAGTGTGCATTGTGATACTATGTTTATCTATACTGAAAACTAAACGTACCTTTTTAGGGTTGGCCTAGGAATTTAGTTTCCGTTTGGTTAGAAACTACAGGAATCTCAAAGAACACGTAAACCCTATATGAATGGGATTTAGTTTGTGAACGTGTATCAAACAATTGCCTTGGTAAAATATATTTTACACTTCTTCTTTTTTTTTTTTACCTTTTTGTTGCATACCAGAACTGGTGATCTCCTGCAGCCTTTGCAGCCACTTCCTGTCTACAGTCCTGTCCACCGCTGCACATAATTTTTCAGGGTAGGTTTCCTGATGGTGACAACAGTGAGTGTACCCATTTGTTGCACAGCCATTTGTAGTCTCAACAAAGGACATGTATGCAACAGGGTAACAGAGGAGATTGGGGAACAGGGACAGAATGCTGTCACCCTATAACAGGAAGTGTCTGCATAAGGACCTTAATGGAAAGATCACCAGGTATATTAATGAAATAATAAAAAATACTGAAGATGACTTTTTACATTTACCTTGTTAAAGCTAATGATGGTGTCTGTGTTTACATATACCTTGATGAAAAAACATTTCTTTCTTATCCTTTGAGGGACACTGAATGCTTCAGAATATGGGTTATATGGCTGCCTTCAGAAGATTTGGACACTGGCAAGCAAACTATTAAGCTAGCCTCCATATAACCCTGCCTTCCACTGTACTGTCTCAGTTTAAATGCTAGTTTTCCAGGCAACTGGACGCAGAGCTGAGGAAAATTCAAACCGTAATCTTTATTTTTACGATTTTCTATTCTGCCAAATCTGTACCCTGTAGAGGGTTTTTTTTCTCTTTGTCCAGTGGGGTAAAGTAAACTCCTTGGTTAAAGACTGTGGAGGCCTACCCTGAGAACACATTCCAGGCTAGCTCTAAAGGCCAAAGCTGTGGCACAGCCTCTTGTGTGACCCAGTTTCAGACTCGCTTAGTATGCCTATGGATGGAAAAATTACCTGGAATGTGATCTTGTGGCACTTTCCCGACTTTGTGTTAGTTGGCTTCAGATCGCAGTCCAAGTCCAGAACAGTGGCACAGCCTCTTGTGATGCCCACTCTCTGAATCCTCTTTTTAAATGAGCCTCTGATTTTTTTCGGTGGTGGATCCTCCAGTATCGCGCCTAAACAAAGAGTCTGTTATTCCAGTGGAGGATTCTCCTTTCGGGATCCCACTGAAAGGAAGGTGGAGGCTGTGTTGCGAACTATGAATTCTGTTTCGGATGCTCTTTGCATCCGGTTTTGGCCTCGGCCTTAGTCTCTCAGACTGACAGAATGGGCTAAGATGTTGCACCAGGGTCTCGCCGAAGAGAACGCATCTCCCGCCTATAGTGAGCTAGCTGAACAGTTGGTGGCAACTCGACCTTGGATGCTGCACCGCTGGTGTCCAAACTGTTGGTTTGTGTGTTTCTGCAGTTACGCTTCGCCGACTGCTTTGGCTTGAGTGCTGGTTGGCTTATCAAGCCTCCAAGAAGGCTCGGACAGAGCTTCCCTTTACCGGGGCTCATTTTGTTTGGAGCTATGCTGGATGAGATCATTAGGGTCTGACGAGCGGTAGGAGTACCTTTCTGCCTCAGACTAAGAAGCCTAGGGATCAGCGTTGGAAGCTCTGTCCCTCCTCCGCTCACAACCGGCTTTTTCGGCCCCCTGCGTCCTCAGAAGGGTGATTGAGTTCAACAAGCCTCCCTCTTCCCAGGCCACTAAGCGTCCCTGGCAACCAAAGTCTTCGAAGACCCCTTCCGCATGAAGGTCTGCCCCGTCTCTGGTTTCCATGGTGGGGGGCTGCGCCTCTTTGGTTGTCCCGCACTCAGACACCTAGGTGTGGTTTGTGGATCTTCACTGTGCTCTAGCGGGCATCTTGTCTCAGGGAGTGATGGTCCCTGTGCCCTCCTGAGAGGTTCAACAGATTTTTTTATTTTTTTTTCAAATCTGTCTACAATGCCGAAGAAAGAGGGTTCGGCCCATCCTAGACTTCAAACTATTAAACACGATTGTGAAGGTCCACAGGTTTCGGATGGAATCTATCAGATCCGTAGTGGCGTGTCTCCATCAGGAGGATCTTTTAGCCTCCCATCGACATCAAGGATGCCTACCCTCATGTTCCCATTTCTCTTCCATCCGTGTTATTTTTGTTTTGCAGTGGGGGAGGAGCACTTCGAGTTTGTGGCTCTGCCCTTCGGTCTGGCATCAGCCCCTCGAATTTTCACGAAGGTGTTAGCCCCGGTTCTGGGGTTGTGCTGTCGGATCTTGATTGTGGGGTACCTGGATGACTTTCTCTCGAAGGCGGAATCTCATTCCTCTCTGGTGGCGGATCTTGCGGTCACCGTCAGGTCCTTGGAAGAGTTTGGCTGGATTCTGAATTTCCAGAAGTCCTATCTGGTGCCGTCTGATTCTGGACGCTCTTCTGGCCCAGGTTTTCCTCCCTCCGGAAAAACTTCAGAAACTTTGCCCTCATGTGAGGCTATTACGTTCTCGTCTGTGGTCTACTTTCTGCTTCTGCATGCAGGTGCTGGGCTTCATGGTAGCATCCTTCGTGTGAAACATCACACCCAGACTACAGGGGGACATCCTGTCACATCAAGTCTCCCTTGTCACTGGACAGGGCTTTTTGTGTGTCTCGGGCGACGAGGGTTTCCCTCGATTGGTGGCTTCGGTCTCCGGCGTTGGGGAAATCCTTTTTTTTTTTTTCCCCCCTGCGCTGGACGATGGTCACCACAGACGCCAGCCTTCTGGGTTGGTAGGGGTCCTGGGCTCCTGGACAACACAGGAGTGTTGGTCATTGGAGTCTCGTCTATTGATCAAGGAGCTTTGGGCAATTCGGCTAGCTCTCCAGCTGTCTTCGGGGCTTTCGGTCAGAGTTCAGTTGGACAACACCATGGCCGTGGCTTACATCAACCATCAAGGTGGCTCAAGAAGCATGGCTGCAGCATGGGAGGTGGCAGGGAGTCTCTCCTGGGCAGAGGAGTATGTCCTGGCTCTCTCCTCCAGTGTACATTCCGGAAGTGAACAATTGGCAGACTACCTCAGTCGCCAGCTGGAGGATCCAGGGGAATGGGTGTTGCATTCGGAGATCTTTAATCAGATTTGCCTTCTCTGGGGAATGCTGGATATGGACTTAGTCCATATCCGGCAGGTTGGTCGGTACATAGCCCGGGCCCGGGATCCCTCTGTGAAGGCAGTGGATGCCCTGGTGGCCCAGATGGACCGTTAGTCTGATTTATGCATTCCCTCCGCTGTATCTGTTGCTGCGTCTTCTGCACAGGATAGCAGCCAAAGGCATCCCTGTCATCCTCGTGGCCCCAGATTGGGCGAGGAGAGAGCGGTAAGCGGACATGGTCCGGTTGGTCATGGACACACCTGGCAGCTGCCGCTTTCTCCAGATCACCTGTCCCAGGGTCCTGTGTTCCATTCATTAGTTGCTGGCTTTAACCGCTTGGCTGAGAGCCAGGTGTTGAAGGACCGTGGTTTGTCAGATGCTATTTCCATGATGCTCGGAAGATGTCTCGAAGATATTCCATCGCATGTGGAAGGCCTATTTTGCCTGTTGTGAGGAGGGTGGTCTGTCTCAGCGTTTGTTCTGTGAGCAGAATTCTTGCATTTCTACAATTTGGAGTGGATCACAGCTTGGCCGTGAGCTCAATGAAGGACCAGGTTTCTGCCCTGACTGTTGTTTTTCAGCTGGCCTTTGGCTTCAAATGCCTTGGTTTGCACTTTTGTTCAGGGGGTTACACATATTGTTCCTCTTGATCGGTCTTCCTTGCCGCCTTGGTAGCTGAAGTTGATGATGTTTTTGGTTTTGTAGGAGCCCCCCTTTGAACCGTTGAGGGAGATTCCGCTACTGAGTTTGCTAACAAAAAGGCCACTTTTTGGGACAAAAGCCTCCAGTTTGCAGGGTTTCGGAGTTGGCGGCTTAGTCTTGCAAGGTGCCGTTATTGGTCCTTTGTAGAGACAAGGTTTTTCTGCATCCTTGGCCCTCCTTCTTGCCTAAGGTTGTTTCGGCGTTTCATCTGAACGAGGACATAGAGAAGGCAATACCATGTGCGAAGCCCGTTCATAGGAAGGAGAGGGCACTACATTGGATGTGGTTTGCGCTCTTGTGTTTTGGATGCTACAGCCTCTTTCCGTGAGTCAGATTGCTTGTTTGTGGTTACAGAAGGGCCGAGCCGCGTCTTCGGCTACAATCTCTCGATGGATTTGTAACCAGATTATTCAAGCATATGCTATTAAGGGGCGCGAGCCGCCTTTTTCTGTTACTGTCCATTCTACTAGGGCTGTTAAGCCTACTTGGGCCTTTCATCATGGTGCTTCTGTTTCTCAGGTTTGTAAGGCCACTACTTGGTCTTCAGTTCACACTTTTTGCCAAATTTTATAAGGTGGATGTTTTGGTATCTGCAGATGCTGGCTTGGGGTGCAAGGATTTGCAGGCAGCCCTTTATTGGGGTCTGTCGGGGGAATGTTTGGTTTTTGTGCCCACACCTCTGCCTGGTACAACTTTGTGACATCCCTATGGTACATGATCCTAGATCTGTTTCCTATGTCCTTCAATGAACGAAGAGAAAATAGGATTTTGTACTCGCCCTAAAATCCTTCTCTCTCCGTTCATTGAAGGACACAGGTCCCGCCCTCTCTTTTGGGTATGTATTCCTAACTGCTTGTTGCTTACTGGAGACTTGTCAGCAGGTGGGGGTTTGGCCACCAGCAGGGTAGGCTGTCTTTGTCTTTTGTTTTGTGCCTAGCGTCCTTCTGCAGGTGGCAATATTACCCCTACGGTACATGATCTGTTTCCTGTGTCCTTCAATGAAAGGAGAGAATATTACACTGAGCACAAAAATCCTATTTTCCCACTGACTGTGGATCACTGCTCTCAAGCCTCTTTCTACTGCCTGCCTTTAGTGTCTTGGTTTTAGAATGCTTTGAGGACTGGGAGCTTCCAGTAAAAACATGGCTTCCTTCTGATGTGCAGAGCCATTTTCTTTTATGGGAAATTCATTGACCATGTCCTAACCCTATGTGGACTCTGGGTCTTTACCTCAATGGACATCTCACTTTTAAATTCTACTCCCTTTTTAGAATGACACTTTTTTTTTTTTTTCTTTACTATGGTCTTGTGCTTATTCCTACCAAAACCTGTCTTTCAATTGGAATTTGAGTAGAAGTTAATTACGCATTTTCCTGTATATTAAACTGTTAATGTTAAACTTCCTGGAATTTTTGGGAACCTGCTACAGCTCCTATTACCTCCCCATACTAGTGCTTTGTTTTCCAAGCTTCCCCATAACAGAACGCTTATTGGATCCTTGCTAATAATTTTCAGTTTCTTAGATTCTGACTAGGCTATACTATTCCACTTCCTTCTTGGATTGTGAGATTCATAGGAACGCTATTTACCTTATTCCCTCCAACTCTTCTACTTGACTTCAGATTTCCCCTAAGTGGGGGAAAATAGCCTGGAGCGAATCTATCCCTCGAAAGTAGTCTCCCCATCTCTACCTCATACTGGCAGCAAGATGTAAACAAAGAATTTATTTAGCAACTAAATAAATTTAGTTGCTAACAATTTTTTTTTGTGCACCAAGCCACCTGCAAACACAGGTTGCTTGAGTGCCAGTTGCCTGAATGCCAGATAATGGGGAGTTTACTGTACTTTAACCCCCATCTGTTTCTGGTTAGTCTTTGGCTGTGGCATGTGTTGTACACATTTTTCTTTCCTTGAGGTCAGGACTTGGGTATGTTTGGCTTTGACCTTTTTCCCAAGAAAACATTCTTGTAGTTTTTTTTTTCTTTTAAATCTTCTTCCTGTTTTTCCTTATGCTGTGGTCCATCCTTCTTTCAGTTAGCAGTCTTCCTTTCCCGATTTTTTCCCTGTCCCCCCCCCCCCCCCCCCCCCCTCCCCCCCACTCAGCCATGTTCAGTTATTTTCTTCTGAAAAGCTTTGCTTGTGTCCAGTCTTCTGAAGGCAGCTGCATAACCCCATGATGTAAGAGTAAGATCTGGTGTCCTGTAATGTCGTCCAAAAAATGATTTTAAAGGGAAGATATAGTCCTATTTTTGAGAAGCACTGCATATTAGTCATTTGTGTTATGTCCAAAATGTTTTCTAATAACACAACTGAATTGATGGCTGTATGGTTAGAAATGCAAAGATCAAATATGTTACATGTGGGCTGCCTTTCATACATTTAATCTGGGCATTGCTAAAATCCCAAAGTGCTGTTGCTTCTATTAGTAGACCCAACAGTGTCGGCAAACGGCAGACACGTGGTCAGTGCCAGTCTCTGGCTGTCAATTTTGTATGAGCCAGATCACCATCCACTTGTCAAAAGCTTGTGGGTACGGTGGAGCAGGTACGGTACGCACAGTGCTTAGGCTACGATGTGTACTTGTATTATTGTGGGATATTTGTGTGGTTTAAATGTTTAAAGGCAGTGGACCATTACTTCATAGCATTTTGTTATCTGAACATACAGCTATCCTTGAAATGATTAGCATGTGGGATTACATGCAAACCAATGAATGTAGTCCAGTCCCATGGTACCTCAGTGGTGCCATGGGGACTTCAGTAAACCTGAAATGCATTTGCTTGCTTGTCTGTGTTGTAGCTGGGAGTTTAGATGTCATTTGATGTCTTGCACTTTCTCATATACAAGCAGTGGAATGAGACTATTCAGTCTTGTCTCTTCCCTCCCTGTGCATGTACACTTGGTTAATACTGTTTTGCTGTGCTTTCAACTATGGTCACAGATTATTGTGGTCAGAATTCCAAAGATGTAATTATATTATACATATAATGAAATATTGTTTACCTGCCTAAAGCATAAACAAGGGCATTTGCAGAGTCATTGGCTCATAATCTATGCTTCTCTTAACACTTTTTTTTTATATGGATGATTGGGAAGAAATGTCTGTGAGGGGATGGGTATATGAGGGAATGTGGAGCATGGGGCTGTATAAGTAGGCTCTTGTTCAGATAGTGCCTTGAATTTTTGTCATGTAGCCCAACAGAGTTCGGACTGATATTAAAGACCTGCGATTTCTGTGTGCAGAAGATGAACAAAGTAGGACATGTTGGATGACTGCATTCAGACTTTTAAAGGTAAAACTTTTTTTTTTAGAGAAATACCATGGCTAAAGCGGGTAATGTCAGTATATTAAAGAACATATACAGGAATATTTACAGCTGCAAATAGAGCTTTGTCCTTAATTATATTTGCTAAACCATAACCGTTGCTTTGTTAGTCTAAGGGCCGATTCGCACATCTGCGGTGGGGCTGTGCTGGCTCCTCCTCCCCCCCAGTCCTGAAATGTCACTTCTATCTGACTGAGTGCAATCTCACATTCCACCCCACATAAGTGAAATTTCAGGACCGAACAGCTGTTCCGGGGCAGATCAGTTCTCCTGCACATACGATTTGCGAAGCCGATCTGCCCTGGAACAGCTGAGAAAGCATTGGAATGCTTGACCTATTGGCGGTCACACATTCCACCGCCAAAAAACTGGGTGGGGTTACATTGAAATGTGTGACCACGTCACCGGTCACACATTGTCACAAACTTTGATAGAACACCGCCATCAGGGGGGTGTGGTCGGTAACCGTGTGAGGGGTCAGGGCAGCCTGGGGGGCCTCTTACATGAGTATCAGCTGCAACAGGGTCGGCAGGGTTGGAGGAGGCCTGGTCCCAGCAGCAGCAGGTAGGAGGAGTTGGGAGGAGGTACAGGGAAAGGGACCACCTGAGACCCTGCAGAGCCCACCATAGAGAGTCTCGGATGGGCTGTGCAGGATCTATGGTGTGCTCTGCAGGGTCACTCTCAGGTGGGCTGTGTGGGGTCTCAGCTATGTGTGGGGTATGTGGTGGGCTATGCAGGATCTCAGGTGGGCTCTGCAGGGCCTCAGGTGAGCCCAGAGTCCAGTTAGTGTTAGTGAATAGGGAGTGCAGCTAGGATTAGTGAATAGGAGTGCGGTTAGTGTTAGTGAATAGGAGGGTCACTCTCGGGTGGGGTCTCAGGTAAGCCCAGAGTCCAGTGCGTTTCTAAGCCCACATATACATATATACATGCTATATATGCAGTGTTCTCTTCATTTTCGATGTCAAAGGGGTTTTGTGGCACCTGGTGTTTTCTTTTCTGTGGAAAATGGGTCCAAATTGCTCTTTGAGTGTTTAAGGTTGCTGACCCCTGCCATAGACTTTGAAGGGAAACAACATGCGACAAGTGTTTTTGTGCATGTTTGTTTTACGTTATTGCCTCTGTCTGCCAGCTGAAAACCTCAAACTTAAAGTATGCGCATCAGACGCATGCAAAAATGCTTGATATATGTGAAACTGAAAACTCTGTCGCATAGGTGTGAAATGGGCCTTAGTCAAGACTGTTTGGATAGTGGATGACCTGTAGCTCACTGATGGTCATATCTGTGCTTTCTCCTCCAATCATTTAACTTTTATTTGTTGATGCAGAGCCCTGGCACTGCAGAAAAACTTTACTGGCTCAAATTACCCAATTCTTTCCTGCTCTAATGCTAATGTACTGGAGACTTCAGGAAGTTGTAACAAAGATAGTTTGATGTACTCTTCTTTTTTTTTTTTTTTTTTTTTTTTAAAATTTTTGTGATAAATATAACTGAATT